TATAATGTACCAGTTGTCAATATATATGGTGCATTCGAACAAAGGAGTATGTTATCATACATATATATGTTTATGGTGTATGTGTGTGTGTGTGTGTGTGTGTGTGAAGGGCCGCCATCATTTCTACATATGCATTTCTACATATGCAGTTGTCAAGTATGAATATATATGTTTTTAGGCTTGTATTGTCTAGTTAATAAATTCATTATACCCACTTTACCTGAATTATTTTGGGGTACAGTGGGCACCTTAAAATTGTTATGCTGGCACCTGACTTGTAAATTTGGCCCTGGATGCAGTTGGCATTTGGCTACTGGATAAAGTAGGATACCCACTGGAAACCAACTCCTCTTCCCCCTGTCTGACATCATATTGATACTTACTAACTACATCCAGCTGTGACATCACGATTGCTATGATCTGCTTGCCATAAGTCTGTACTTCAACTTATCATGTTTAACGAACCACCATATTGATGTTTGAGTTACCTTACTGATTTAATAAAGCGTTTTAATGTAAATGACAAGGTGCATGCAGTGCTTCCGATTGTGTAGACTTTGATGGCTCTGAATGACATAAAATTAAAATGTTGTATGAATATTTAAAACCATAACTATCTGCATAAAAATTACACTAGGCCGAAATAAAAAAACATTCAATCTAAATTAACTTTTCAGGACACCCCTTTCTCTGTCTTTTTTACCTCCATGTCCTTCCCCTTAACGCCTTTGACCATGTACTTTGCAAAGACTTACAGTCTTTCTTTTCATATATTTTTATAATAATACCCTTGTACTTCCAGTGACTCTATAAAACCCCATTCTCCATCCTATCCATCATGCCTTTTCTACTCTACCTGTCCCTCATTATTAATACATCTCTCTATGCAATATGTTTATCTATCCCCAGTCTCCATCCATGTATAACACATTTTCTTCCCACCACTCCTAGTCATTTTCCTTCTCCCACCAATAGTCCATGTAACTCTCATATCTAATCTCATTTGCTGTCACTCCCTATGCCCTACTACTTATTTGTTCTGTTCGCATGTTATACTTTTCCTTTTCTTTGTTCCCCATTCAACCCCCTTCTTTCTACTTTTTTTTTCTGTATACATGGAATTGTTCCTAGTTTTCCCTCATTATACATATTTTGTGTATGAGAAGGGATATCTTATTGGGGGGTCAAGTGGAGGAAGAAACCTGCACTTATGTGGTCTTTTGCGATCTTTTGCAGTCCTTTGCAGCTAAACAAAATAGAACATTATTTCAGATTCTTGTGCATTCCTTTAATACAAGTGGAGTTAGCAGAGTACAGGCTGAGAATACAGAGGAACAGCTGCTCTATTCCTAACTGATCAACATGCTGGTCTTTTCAGCTAGGTACTGGCATTTCACAATGCCCATTGAAATCCTACTATTCTAAGGAACAGGGTTGTTACACAATAACCAGAGACACCTGATTAACCAAATACCCTCTTCTTCTCCCTTTAATAGCCACTTATTGCCAGTGGTAATAGAAAACCTACAAGAACATTCTCTTTAAAAGAAATTAGAAATATAACGTCAAATTTATTTAAAAGTAAAATAAAATAATTATAGACTTTTGTAGTATACTGAAAACAGTTTTGCTGATTGTATGACAAGTAGCTTGGTAACAAAGTCATCATCCAATATTAAATATATTTTTATTTGTTCCAACTCACACAGGAGCCTGTTTTTTTTAGCAGAGTACATAAAATAAATAATGACATGCATATGTTCCATCTGATAAAAACATATATCTGTTATAACATAAAATTAATATACAAAATCTCGTATGAATAGATGTATATTATATTGATATATAAACTCACAAGACCTTATCTAGTAAAATATAAGATTGAAACCTATAATCTGTATCAAGTATAATTTAATCAGAACTTCAATTTCTAAATGAAAATATTTTGTTCATGAATGTGCATTCAAACTGGAGTCATTCTTCCACAATACAATAAATAATTCACTTTCTTCATTCTTTGCTTGTATAAATATATGAGCTCTTTCCTTTTCTTCACTCACAAACTTATTTAAAGGTTGATAAGTGCAGAACATTGCACCGTATACAGTCCAAAACTCAATATCAGAGTTACAGGATCAATTACTCTTACTGAAGTGTGATGCATCTCCCTAAGAGGTGTTATCTGCCTTTACCATCATTTGCCCTAGAATACTGTTGTCTGTTTCATCAAATCAAATGTTTGAAAGAGAAAACTGTGTTCTAGGTCTTAACACTTAACATCTTACAAATGGCTGGTAGATTCTATTTATCATTCATTTAAATTGGTTGTTTTTTTTCCCCATCATAGGAATTGTTCTGCTACATGAACTATACATTTTCAGAAGAAGGAAAGTGCAACTGCTTCAGCTCTTAAAATAAAATACAGTATTTAAATAACATTCATTAAACAATATTTTTGTTACAGATTAATCGAAACATATAGAAACATATTACAAATGCTCGAGAGCAATAAATAGTGATACAGTAATAAAAATAAAGTCAAGAGGAAAATTTAAACTGAGGCATAAGATGTTATTTTAATATCTATCTGTTATAGTGAAAATGGTGCATTCGTGCTCTCTCTCTCTCTCTCTCTCTCTCTCTCGATTTCTATGCCTAGCTGCACTGGAGAAATGCGAGCAAAGTCTTTTTACTTTTTTATTCCAGTGTCAGATATCACTAAGAGGCTCCTCCTCTTTCACCTGATGCCAAAGCTTCACAAGCAGTTCCCCTTCATTTGGTCGTCACCGAATGTTGACACACTGCTTTCCTGCCTTCAGGTGATGTCAAATGCTAGCGCACACTTGTTGGACAGCTGCACATGCTTTGCTTCCTCTCTATTTATGCCCACAGTGAAGTCTAAACACATGTAGGCAAACACCTTATACCAATAAATATACAACTAGCTCATTATCTCTTGATCTCATCTTCACCAATCTCTGGACCACCTCTAATCTCTCATCTGCTGATCTTTTATGTTGGCATACACTGTACCCATATCACATCACCCTCGGTACATCAGTCTCATAGAAACTTCCACTGCCTTGACCTACATCAATTCTCCACCAACCTCTAAACCCTCCTTCTTAAGTATCACCTACTGTAGCTCTGCAACCTCCCTCTACAACTTCACCCTCTCCTCTGAACTAGTTATCATGGCATCTCCCATATTAAACTTTGTAAGCGACAACCCAGTAACAACCCTGGCACACTAAGCTGACCTGTTACCTCCAAAAATGCTCCTGCTGAACACTGCTGGAGAAAGTCTTATTCTGTTATTTAAACACCCTCATAACGATGCTCTCCCAAGAACACAAACACCTCTTTCACACTGTTAACTCTCTTCTGCCCTAATGCTGCTCCTCCTACTAACAGGGACTAAAAACTTTGCAACAGACTTCATTGAGAAGATTTCTGTTATGAGGAAAGAGATCTCTTATCTCTCTCATACCCCTGTCACTACGTCTCCCAACCGTGCACCCTCCTCTGTTTTATGCTCACTTGCTTCCCCACACCAACATAGGTTTCTCTTCTGCTTTGGTCCTCCACTTGTGCCCTTGATCCCATTGTGCCATCATATCTCACTCATGCTTTTTCTACTTCTCTTGTTCTGGCCCTTACTAAAATATTCAATCTAATTCTCTTTTCTGCTAGATTTCCTTCACCATTGAAGCATGTAACCATCACCCCAATTCTGAAAAAGCCAAAGCTTGGCTGCAACTCCCATCCAACTACCGCCCTGTCTCAATACTACTGTTTGCCTCCAAGATCCTTAAGAGAGTTGTGTGCACCAGATTGACTTACTTCCTTAAATGCAACTCTCTGCTCAAACCGCTTTAGTTCAGATTCCACACTGATCACTCTGCCCTGACCATATTATCCAACAACTTAATTGCTGCTAAATCCAGTGGTCTCCACTCTCTCTTAATTCTCCTTGACCTTTTCGGCTGCTTTCAACATTGTTCTAGTCGTCCTCAGTACCTCAGTCTATGAGACTCTTCACGTTCCTGGTTCTCCTTCTAGCTCTCCCAATTCTCATTCATGGTTGATTTCTCTCCTCTGCAACCCCTCTCTGTCAGCATTCCCCAATGATCTGTACTTGGTCTCCTACTGTTATACTTTTCTTAAAGTTGCTGCCATGCAGCAATAACGCTACATTGTATACTTCTATCTACATGTCCGGTGAGTGCTTTCTTCTTTCCAATAATACACACAATTTTTTTTTTGTTTTTACTGGAAGGTTCCTTAAACTCTTTAAAATACTGTCCACTTATTTGCAACAAAGAAATAACAGTTAAAAGCTATTCAACACATATTCCTACTCCAGGTGTCTCCTTCCAGCAACAAATCCTACTCTGGTGATGCCATCATCACTGCTTCATTGTGTCCAATGAGATATTTCTTATAGAAAAGCACTGGAACACATTGAGCACTAGCAGCAATCATCATGATCACCACTTCAATGCTTCTTTTATAAAAAAAAAATATTTTTTTCTTGTAGGCAGCAAATACTAGAGAGTGCCTTAGCACTGAGAGAGGCTCAGTGACCATTTATGTGAAAATAGCCCTAATACAGAAAGCAATGCATCCCTTCACATGTCAAACATCCAAATTACTCAAATGAAAAGGATAATGAAGACGAGTGAGGATGGTTAACTCCTAAACAGGAAGAAAAACCAGCCGCACAAGAATTACCTCATTAAAATTCAAGACAATACCAGACAAAAAAGGTGCTAGTGGGGCGGAGCTAGCAGCCGAGCCTGCAAGACGCATGAAACCCAAGCTCCGACAGTACAGCAGCAAACTAGCCACGGATTCCGTAAAATACACCTCCAAAAGCTGGGAAAAGGCTGCAAGAGACTTAGCACAATATGGGGAAACACTCACGAAAACCCCGAGGGCCGTCCGCGGGACATACCCAGGACATCGGGCAACTCCTGTCCCAGGCCTGCAGGCCCAAAATGGCGGACGTCTTTCACACCATGGGGATGGAGTCACTCTCTGCCTCAGAGGATGAATACTTGAGTGATATGCCGACCCCGACACCCCAAAGGAAGCAACAAACAGCGCCACCAAGGCAGTCAGAACCGCCACTAGCCACTAAGGCTGACCTAACAGGCATGGTGACTGATCTTAAGGCATTCTTCACGGCTGAATTGGCAGGCCTCAAGACGGAGCTGAGCACATTTACAGGCCGCATGAGAGCCACGGAAGACGCAGTCCAGGACCTGAGAGTCCAACAAGATGCCACGACAAAGAAAACGCTCGAGCTCACAACCTCATGCTCCCAGCTAAACGCCTGAGTAGGGCAACTCGAAGATTTGGCGCGACAGAGAAATGTCAAGGTGAGGGGGATACCAGACACTGTGACGGCAGATGAACTGCCATCCCTCATAAAGAGACTGTTACAAACCGCCCTACCACCCAAACAGGCCAAAGGACTGACCCTAGATAGCCTATTCCGCATACCAGGGCGTCCAAACAACGTCTCCGCAAGGGATGTCATAATGAGCTTCAAATCCCGCTCAGACAAAGACGGATTCCTCCGTGCGGTCAGGAGCCAGACCCCGTACATTTTCGAAGACATTACCTTACACTTCTACCAGGACCTGAGCCGCCAGACGCTGCAGTGGCGGGCAACACTGAAAGAAACCACAACTCAATTGAGGGCGGCGGACATTCCATGTAAATGGGGCTACCCCCGCACGCTAATTGCCACACAAGACGGACAAAACCACAAGCTGACAGCGCCAGAAGAAGCACCGCGATTTTTACAAGCTCTAGGCATTCGTCCAGTGGCAGGCGCCAAGAGGAGTACGACACACCGATGGGATGTCGCCAATATAACCCCGTTCACCCCATCGGAGTCGACAGCCCCAGCGGGAAGCAGTGCTATGCACCCATCCGGCTCTTAATATGGGAAAAGTCTCCCGTCAAACGGAACTCATGGATGTACCGGCTAGTTCTAGTTCTATTTTGGTTGGACTTACTTATGTTTATGCTACACTGTCATGTGCAATGTCCTTCACCGGTTGCGTACAGCTTTACATACATTTTGTTTTTTGGCTAGGCATTTCTGCGCCTACTGCCGCGCCAGGAGTAGGCCACACGGTCAGTAGACTGCTCGCACCTAACACACGATCCGCACGACACCCAATCCATACAGGTCCTCCAACCTGACACAATCCACAGGACACAGGGGTGACGCATTAATGCGGCAGCTACAGATAGCACATACTTACACGACGAAACCACCCCCCCCCCCCTCCAGACTCCAGGGTTAAGGAGCCTTAATATATATACAGGCCTTTTAATGCCTCTGGCCGTTAATCAGGGGACCCAGAACCAGGAACCCAGACCCAAGCTCACCTCAGCCTGACACTAACATATCCTGAGCCTGTATAATAGGGAGCTGAATTTAGGAGCTGTGGCCTTTAAACACATACTTATCCTGCTATGGTCTAACGCTCTTAGACCCTGAGGCAAATCCACTCACTTGTTCACTACCACACTGCTAACAAGTCACCACAGGGAGCTTTGCCTGTCTTTATCATCTGAGAACTGTGCAATCACTTGTTTGCTATCTTGTAAATGTATTACTTTCTTTTTAAAAACTGAGTGACACATATATTGCCATTGTTAAACCTAGCAATCCTACTTAAAGTACTCTCAGGCGATTATAATATTATATTGGCTACTCACAACAACAAACAGCATAATCCTGTTTTATCATACTTAACCTATAACAAATGTATACTGTATATGTAACCTCATGGCCTGATTCTTGTTTAAAAACAAAACAAAAAATGTGCAGTACTATCGTATGCCACAAAATGACATTCCTCTTGAAATGCCTGTTTTTATTGAGTGGTATGAGAAGACTGTCTGTTTAACTTGTGCACACAAAAATAAAGAATTAAAAAAAAAAAAAAAGGTGCTAGTGCAACCTAAATGTGATCTAAAAAAAAAGGGGCTATAGAGTGATAATAAAAAGACTACTAAATCTGTAGCACAGACACTCACTCTATGGATGTAAACTCCACAAGCTATAAATGTAGCATTTAGATGAAAATAGTTAGACAAATTTGACACAAAGTAGCAAACTTTTCTGTAGTGTCCTGTGATAAGAGTGTAGTATATACAGGATTAACTATGCAAGCTATTTTCTGTAGAGTCCTGTGTATAATGTATAAAACATATGAAACAGTGGATACTCATATAGGGAGTCTGTTCCAAAGCTCGTATAGTTTAGATAGATAGTTTGTACTAAGGGAAGGGGCATGTAAAGGGTAGAGCGAAGCAATTCCCTATGTAAACCCTGAAGCTGTCTAAACTTCCCCCCTGCTACTCCAAGACAGCTCCCCTATATAGAAGTTACTGAAAGTATATATGCAACAAGGGTAGAACGAATAGGGGAGAGCATGCATACAGGTTGTCGAATAAATCTCTGGTACTCTGCTTGTGCAGAATACCCCCTGCTGCTTTGAGGCAGCCCCCCCTAAACTAAAGAGTTCAAAATCTATCAGGTATCGTAGTCATATCACAGTCAACTATCAAAGTGAAAATAAAAACAAAGTATATGCATCAGCAGTCCGGCGTGCTTTTCGTCGATAACACCGCCTTTCTCAAGAGCTGAAAAGGCAACCACAAAGGGTCTGCTTTTTGAAGGTGAGTAGACCTATAGCGAAAATAGGCCTATCGCGTGAGTTCTCATATTAAAGTGGGTGGAATTCACTTCCGAAGAGAGGTGACACAACTCGTCTCAGTGCGCTTGCGCAATTGCCGTGTGAGTTCCAAGGATTCAACAACCTGTTTCTATTGTTTCCCTTAAAGGTGGTGGTGGGTGGTTAGTCTAATTGTGCACGCCCACAAAATACCAAGGGTAGTAGTTGTAATTATAGAAGATCATATATTAAAACGCTAAAGATGACATTTCTATGGTAACCCACTAAGTTATATAACGATGAATCAGAGCACCCAAGGTAAATTGCTGAAAGGTTATATTAGTCCTAACAGACACCAATGTTTATCCAGTCTTAGGTAAATGCTCCCCCCAGATATTTTTTCCTGTTTAAGAGTTAACCATCCTCAATAGTCTTCATTATTCGTTTATAAGGGTCAAGCCCTATTTACCTCTGTAACCTTCTTCAAACTCTTCGAGTAGGGTTTCTCCCCTATCCTTTTGTAGTTTTTTTTCTTCTAATAGTTAAATTTAAGGTTTCAATACCTGGGTTACTGAGCAGAATCCTTCCTACACACGATGGTGGGGTTTTTTGTCAAACAGTAATGTCTGGTGCAGGGACGCTGATAGTGTCTTCTCAGATGAGACTCTGGATAGAAACACATCCCTCCCTGACATTAATCAGTGCTTTAATCATTCAAATAAACTGTATAAACAACAAATTAGGACCTGTTGGGAAATTTCATCTCTTGAAAATTATATTTAAAAAAAGAGATGATTCCCAGGGGACTAAGGGTTGGCAACATACCTTCCTCTTACTCTGAAAACACTGATTTTATTAAAGAATGGGAGTCTGCGGCTGGGGCATGTTCCAACTTTTCGGAGCCCCAGACTTCCAACGCCGTAGTTAGTTCCACCCCGGAGGGTATCCTTAAAAAAGGAGTTAATTTTTTAGCGTTGGGCCACCAGGAAGAGTTTCTGAGCCAAAGAACAAGAAATCAAACACTGAACTACAGAGGAGGGGGGAGAAGTCCCGTACTCAACATGACGAATAATTAAAAATTACAAGTAATCAATCTATCTTCTCGCCACCTAGACTCCAATCACTGTAAAGCTTTATAAAAGGCCTCTCATTTGTACCAACTCCACCTTTTGACAAGTTTATGTGGAGCAAGCACCTGCATCTTTTTATGCGTAAACTTGCTTTACACAAGTTTCATACATTACACACAGAAAGGAAGGCGAGGGATTTAGGTTTCACTCATAGAGGATGAATGTATGACCCCCCTTTGTCTCTTCTGGATGAGAATGACAGCCAAATACCTCTGAATTGTATTGAACTCAAACCAAAAAAAGGTTTACCTCCAATCTAACCAGCTTAAGCAATATTAAGCTCTTTTAGAAGTGAAATTGAGAAGATTAATTTGAAATCTTTTGATTTCACCCCAATAATCTCTCTAGAAATGAGCAAGCAGAATTAAGATCACTCAAAGAGGATGCGGACCTGATGGTTAAGCCGGCTGATAAGGGGGTGGTAATATAGTGCTGATGAATGTTGGTGATTACACAAACATGGTTCATAAAGTACTGGGTGATACCGATATCTACAGGGTTCTGAAAACCGATCCTACAAATGAGTTCCTACAGAGGTATAATGAGATTCTGGACTATGGCCACAGTGAGGGGTTGCTATCGGGTGACGAATACTAGTTTATCTTGAATCGTCACCCTAGGATAGCACCCTTTTACGGCTTGTCAAAAGTCTATAAGAATCTGGAGGATCCACCAGGTCGCCCGATCATTTCGGGGGTGGACAACCTTATCCAGAATGGCAGTCAAATTTGTAGACAAAATTCTGAGACCATTTATAGAACATCTTCCCTCTTATATCAGGGACACAAAGGAGGCACTTAATCTCCTTGCCGACCTCAAAATTCGAAAAACAGCCAATCTATGCAGTTTGGATGTAGAATCCTTATATTCATACATTTCTCATGACAGAGATATCGAAAATGTAAGTTTCTTTCTACATGAGTCACATACAACATTCACACTGAGACTTCTGTTTTTTTTTTCCTGTTGCACAATTACTTTCTGTTCTATAACAAATTCAACCACCAGGTGAGAGGAACTGTGATGGGGATGGCTTGTGCCCCCTCATATGTTCACACCCACCAACCCAGGTGGAGGTTATGAACTGAACCTCGTCACGGGTGCTTGGAGGGCCTGCTGGCCAGCCTCTTGCCAAAAGACTAGGGGGCCAAGTCAACGACTGTATTTTAAGGTGTTTAGGGAGTTTTGTAAAAACTGTGTGTCTCCTAAGTATCTCCTAAGTAAAGGTGAAGGCTTTTTGTATTGTATATGGGAGTGTTATGCATTGTAACACTGTTATTATTGGTCTGTGACTTTGTAATGGAGTTCCCAACAAGGTCCATGTGGGAGTTCCCTTTGCATGGGGATTGTCATAAAATGCCAAGTGTGGCACCATTCAAATCAGTTCCTCTTCACCCTCAACATAGAGCATCGTATCATGTGTGGAAGGGACAGATATATTTAATCTGGGGATTGCTATACTCCTTAAACTCCCTGGGTATATAATCCCTAGCTCTTATAAGAGTTGTT